CCCCCCCTCCTGCTGTGGTGTGCTGTTGGCCTATGTGGTTTGCAGGAAGAGCTCCAAGCTGTGAATCGGTGCTCATCCGAGGGCTGAGACAGCAGGACTGACCGAGACATACTCAGCCCGACCTGCCAACCATCTCACTCTGTTGTGACATCTGCCCTTAGTCATACCTAGCGCCTTCGACATCATCTGCCCTGTGTGTTATTTGACGACCGACGGCCCTTCGAAGGATTGACTGACTGACGCTGACTGCAATGGCGTCCCTCTCCACTCTCAAGACCGTCCCCCTCCCATGCTTCGGCGAAATGAGCGACGTGACCTCCACCCGCAGCACGGCATCCAGCGAGGCCGACCTCTCGCCCACTCTATACCAGCTCTCGGCAGCCAAGACTCTCACCACGGGCCCCTTCCCCGCCGTTGTGTCCTTCAAAGGCCACAGTGTGGTGAACCTGGGCAAGAAGGGCACCGTCAAGGGCATGACGGCGGCCTGTTCGACCAGGCTGATGCTGGTGGAGGGCGGCCACGGCATGGGGGAGGGCAGTGGGACGTTCACCCTGTGCTTCGAGCAGAGCCTCGCCAGTGGCGGGGTGGTCACCGGCAGCAAGAAGCTGGTCAGTGGGGTGTATCGCGTGGACGAGTGGGGTGAGGGCAGCCATGACGACACCCACACGGTGGTGCGGATCGCTCTACACTGCACCGAGGTGGGGGACGATCGATCGACGAAAAACTCAGCTGCACACAATGAAAGACAGGCATTTAAGTCGGGGGCCGATATCAACCAAGCAATGTGCGTGTGTGTGGTGTGTGTCTACAGATGAGTGGCATGTTGATGACGGCGCACACGACAGCGTTCGAGCCTGCAGATGCCTTCAAATCCAAGGCAAGTTTTTCCCTGCATGTGGCATCGAACAACCAGGCCGCCCTGTCCATCGACAACATCAAAGACCAACTGATGTTCATGCCATACCCAAAGGTCTGTCACCGTGAGCACCCGTCCATCGTCCCATTGTGAATGTGTGTGTGTGTGTGTGTGTCAGGAGCTGACGATGCAGTCCAAGCCGGGCAGTTGCCTGTCTGTGCTGTAGTTGGCTGCTAAGATACACACAGGGGGGGGACGCCACTGGGTAAGACCGCCTTTGCGTGACCACTGATTGTGTGTTGATGTCGAGTCCCTTGCCATGTTCGCCGTTGTTGTTTGGGGCTGTAAATTGTGTCCGGCCACTTGGTTGCGGAGCCTTGGGCATGTAGCGCCAAGAGGCCCGACACAATGGCAGCTCCATACAGCAGCAAGCAGACAGGCTTGGGCACATCTGGTGTTTTCTTAAGCTGCCTGCAAGGAATGCTCTGACTGACGCAGTGGGGGAGGGAACCAGAGTGATGGTGGGGGTGAAATGGCGGGACTGTCTGTGTGTCTGTCGTGTCTACGCGGGGTTTGGTTCAGAGTTTGTTGCGCATGGAAGGCGATCGTCGTCCATGCATGTCGAGTGGGGAATGCTCTATTTTTGGTCATCCTCCCTCTTCCGGCGGATGACTAAGAGAGAGGGGCCAGGAGGATGCGTTGTGTGCGTCGTGGACGGTGCTCAGCCTGACATGTGCGCCAGTATAGGTGCACGATTGGTTGATGTGCAACGGTCCATGGATGTCCGTGAACCAACATGAGCCTGACCTATCTGGCGCTGTCTGTGCCTTCACTCAAAGTCCCATTATTGAGCTGAAAATCCCATCAACAAAAAAAACTCGCGAAACGGTCGCACGGGAAACCTGTGAGACCTTGTTGAAATATTTGGGCACGATCATGGATCTGGCTGCCTTTAATGTCCGCATAGAGTCCGCTGTTCCCACCGAAGACCAGACGACGTATCGCTATGTCATCGCCGTGCAGCACCGCAAACTCACGTGGCAAGGTCAGCGGGTGGAGGAGGGAGGATGCAATGTATGCCGACTTATGTGCTGGTTGCTCTCGTCCCTCCCACCTGTCAGTCAGCAAGCGATACTCATCGTTCGACCAGCTGCACAAGGCCCTCAAAGCAAGGTGAGGTTGAACGAATCATCAATGAATGAATACCTACCATGATGCGATGCATTCATGCGTGTGTGTGTGTTTGGTTGAACCATCCGTCCATCCATGCATCCATGGGTCAGCAAGCACGCGGCTCTCCCGCCGCTGCCGCCCAAGACGCTGATTGGCCGTCCCATTGACACCCAGGAGATAGAGGCGAGGCGGAAGGGCCTCCAACACTACCTCCACGAACTCGTTGCCAGACCCGACACCAGAACCAGCACGCCGGTAACAGACAAGACAAACCACAGACTGACTGATTGGATAAATGGATGGATGGATGCTTCCCGTGAATGAATGAATGTTTGATTGGTCAGTTGTTGGAGTTTCTCGAGTTCGAGGCCCGCACTGACATGACTGTCACGCACCTTATGGTACGCTACGCACATACAGAGATAGATAGATAGATAGATGGACATCCTACCCATCCGAGCCAGCAACAGACAGACCAACAGACGGGCACTGCACTTACTGCCTGGATACATACATGCATTTCCTACATGTATGTATTCATGTATTCATGTACGAATGGATGTATGTGTGTATGTGTAGCCCCGCCGTGGCCCCGTTTGTGACCTGGAGGATCCCCGGTTCGCCGTCAGTGGCGTTCACTACTGGCACAAAGCACTCACCAAACAAATGGACGTGGTCATCGTGGCTTACCAGGTCAGCACACCCCACCACATACATACATACGCATGTATGCATGTATGTCACTGGGGTGGTGGTGGACTGTGTTGTCTTGTGGTCCAATCAATCAGGACAGCAGCCATGTGGCTCGTCTGGGTCGCATGTGGACGGTGGTAGAGCCTGACGAACTGGGTGCATGGGCCATATGGGCGCCCACCCACGCAGGGGATGACAACTGGCACAGAGTGTTCCTCGAGAACTTCGCTATCAAGGTGAGCGCCGATGCCTGTCTGTCACCCTTTCATGGTGGATTTGTGGGTGTTGCTGTCCCCCCATAGGTGCCGTGTATGTGTGTCGAGGAGACGTCGAGGCAGATTTTCATCGCCATGGAGGGTGCGGACACACCGGCCGAGATATCTATCGTCAGTCACCCCTCTCCATCCCTGCCTGTTGGCTTCAGACGGCACCATCCGGGCCTATCATCTGCCGGACGAAGAGGACATCCAGCCACAACTCGTAGGTGGCGTTCCGTTCCAACATACATACGTGCATGCGTCAATCAACAAGACAGAGACACATGACATGACACGGCAATGCATTGATCGGATCCACTCTTACTGGTGTGTAGGTTGGGTCTTACCAGGTCCACGCCACGTCGGTGCTTGACTTGGACTGCTCGGCCCGCCACCTGCTGTCCATCGGCTTCGACGCCACCATCAGACTCGTCAAAGGTCAACCAACCAACCCACCAAACAGCGATCGACATACAGTAACCAACACCAGTCCACCTGTTGGCTTCAGTGAGCACTCGAGAGGTCGTCTCTGGCGGCCGGCTGGCCAAGCGATTGGACGGCAAACACCTTACAGTAGCCGCCCTCGACGAGCCGGCGCGGAGGGCGTTTCTGGGTACGCGAATCGCCCATGACACCCACACCCGAGCCTCGGTGTGTCCCTTGTTGCTTGCTGCCCACGTCGGTGTGTATTGCGCTGCAGGCACCTCTGGCAGTGACGTGTTGATATATGATGTGTCAGGAAACCCGCCACACTTCCTACACGCACTCACAGTATTGACCCGCGGAGGGAGGGATGGATGGAAGGAAGAAAGGAGTGATGCCGGCCTCAGGATGGGTACGTGCGTGTGTCTATTTGCCGCCCAGGTCATGTCTAGCGGACCCATATCGTGGCTGAACCTATCAGAAAGGTACCACACCACATCCATCCATCCATACATACATAGCTGAGGTACATGCACTGCACTTGGATTGCACGAGCTTTGTGTGTGTGCGTTTGTTTCTGTGTGATTGGGTCCCTTCTCTGCGTCCGTGCCCTGCCCTGCCCCAGCCACCTGTGGGTGGGTCATGATGAGTTCGTGACGTGCTACGGCATGGAAGACAAGACATACGAAAAGAGAATGCCGCGGGTGGGTGGACCGACCTAAACTCCATGTGTATCAGTTCGCACATGTGTTGTGGGTGTGGGTGTGTGTTTGTGCAGATGGCTCAGTACGTGTCCAACTTGGAGGGTGGTCGCCAGGTGCGGGGCGGCTGTGTCATTCCAGCTGACAAACGGCTCATCGTGGCCTACGAGGTAGGTAGGTAGACAGGCGGGCCTGCACCCCCCTACCTACGCACACGTGTCTATCAGACATGTCTGTCAGTGAGTTGGTGAATGTATGTATGTATGCTTGTGGGTCATGTCATCATCAGGGAGGTGTGGTGGTGTATTCGCTGAGTTCCGGCACAGCCACCATGGCGTTTGCACCACACGATGGAAGGGTGGGTACATTCAGCAGCACACATGAGCGAAATCAGACCGACAGCCACTCACACCTGCCTGCCTGCCTGCGTGTTGGTTGGTGGTTACAGACGACTGAGGTGCTGGCGCTGCCAGCTGGTGTGTATGACGGCTCCACCACCATTCTCACAGCCGGCGTAGATGGAAAAGTTAAGGTCAGTGAGCAACCTAGGAACGCGGACATCACAATACATCCACACATACATCAGGATTAAGCAAGCTTGGCCTGTCTGTGTGTGTTACCTGCCTCGCTCCCTGCACGCACATCACACAGTCGTGGGCCTTGAGTCCTCCGGATCAGTACGTCTTCTGGCATCCTCCCTCTTGCCGCGCAGCAGCGGCAGCAGCAGAGCCGCCCCTCAGCACCACGACGACTGCCGACTCGCCCATCCCGAGGCGCAACGGTCAGCATGAACAAAACAGCCACCCTAACGGCGAGCAGTACAGCCAGGCACACGGCTGCACGGATGCGCCAGAGGGAGGGCCTGGGCCTGCCACCAGTGTGGGGGATGGGTCCAAGCTGCGCATTCAGCGGGAGGCTGACGAAGACGATGATGAGGAAACGCTCAGGTGGACGTGAGCCGAGAAAACCATCTAGGGTAGCGAGGTAGATAGATAGATGGTAGCAGAAAACAAGGTGACGTGACGCGTCTGGGGGTGTCTGTCTGGTGATGTGACAAGGACACGACACGTGAGGGATGCGGACGTTTGTGCATAGTTAGTTGGACAGCCACGAGTTGATGAGGCGTCGGCATCAATCAAGTACACACATACATGAATGCAACCATCCATCCATCAGTTCATGTCATGCAATCACTGCATGCGTCCACCAATCCAATCAGAGGCAGCGCCCGCTGTGGTCTACCCATTCACTCATTCATATGATCAGCAAGCACCACACACACCCACTTCCCCACCGCCAGCCCAGCCCCATGACGCCCAGCTGTGCGTGAAGCCATCCATCCATTGATCAGAAGTCATCATCGTCATCATCTTTCTTGCGTCTGCCCCCGCGTCTGGGTTTCTTGTCCTTGCGAGTTGCATCGGGTGAGGTGTACTCGCCGTACAGCTCGATCTCCTCCTGCCGGATCCGCTCAGTCTGCTGCGCAAAGTAGTCTTTCAGGAAGGTCAGAATGAGGAAGGCCACCCCCACGCTGGCGGCCGCCACCACACATATCCAGGCCGACTGCAGAATGCGGATGCCCCTCAGGCGCCGGTCCAGGAAATCTATGTCGTACAAGACACTCTCGTGCAGCGGAAGATCGGTCGTGCGGGGCGAGAAGAGAAACCGACGGGTCAGCAGAGCCTCCTGCCCGGGAAGCGTCAAGGCGGACGCCAAACATGGCCAGCGGGTGGAAGCCACCCCAACACCCAGCATCCTCCCTGCTGCAGTCCCAACAGCATGCACCGCCTGCATCAGCCGCCTTGGTTGCTGTACAGATGAGTCCAGGGAGGCTGGAAAGATCCTCACGGGGTGGAGATGCCGTGCTGGCAAATGAGCGGGGAGGGGAGAGCGGCTTGTTGCGCCGAATAATCGTTGACGCGCACTTGTCATCCCAGCACGGCTCGTAACACGAAACGCCTCCAAGCTGACGATGAGCCACAGCACCAACACTGCTGTCAGCCTTAATGACCCCCCATATGGTAAAGAATTCATCCTTGATAAGTATTCTAGGGAAGAAGGGACGATGACAAGGGCGTCTCCGCCCGTCTCACGACCTTATCATGCACCAGATCTGGGCAAAGCCTCATCCGCGATCCACTCATTTGCGAGCTTAAGAGGGAGAAGGGGAATGACACCAATGAACGGCGAGGCAGTGAGCAATTGTACAAGATATTGCAAGATGTGTGGACAGCCGTTGTCTGACAGCGATTGTGACGCAGAGGCTTCTGATACATGTATGAGATGCAGGGCGGATCCGCCTGTCCTGGACGAGCCCATCTCTCTCAGCGATGCCCTGTCAATATGGCCTGAACCTTCACAGTCTTTCCTCACAGTCATCGGTGGGTGGAGGTACATACAATATCGGAGAGAGAGATGCTGACTTGTGGGAGGGATCGCATCCATGGTTTTGGCGTGTCTACTTGATGGCTGCAGAGCAGCGCCTGTGGCCTGGTGGCAGGCTCGATGACAGGCACAAAGACCACACGTACGTAGGATGGATTCGCTACCAGCCATTCATTTATTCCATGTGTGCTTCTGTCCCCCGTGTGTGCGTCCGGCATGTGTGCAGAGCTTCTGATGTTCGCCCAGAGCACACCGCGGCAGCTCCCCAACTCGGTGGTGAGGGTATGCAGAGCGATGGTGCCCCACTCATGGACTCTCGACGGGCGAGGGTCAAAGTCGTCCTGCTGGCCAAGTGGTGCGCATGCACAGGACGACAGACAGACAGACAGACAGACAGACAGGGGTCCAGTCACTTCAATTCACGTGTGGGCATCTGAGGCTGGGGTGTTGGTTGTGTGCTGTGCCTGTAATATCAGTTGTCCCCATCCATACAACCTGCTGGAGACCCTGTCAATGGATGCAGATGGACCTCATGTGTCGGACCGGATGGTCGATGAGATGGTACATGTGGGCGGCTCACGAGATGCACTCCTGACGTGACTGACTGGCTGACGTATACAAGGATGGCGGGTAGTGACATATGTGCAGGCAGACAAGAGGACCCACTGATTGTTCGTCCTCAAACATGATTGATACCAACACACATCGGATGGTGATCGCTTCGTAGGAACTTGACTGCCTGGGCGCCCACACCATGCATTCACCCCCGACCCCTGTGAGGGAACGGAACGTACGTGCGTACGAACGTACGTGCGTACGAACGTACGTACGCAGCCGATGTCCGCTATGCCAGCTTCGAGAGGCCAATTCTAACTTACTTACGCGGCCACAGGTGAATGGATAGCGTCCTATGGTCAGGGCCGCAATGAAACGATTTCACACGAGGCCACTCATCCATCACACCTCACTATGAGGAGCGATGAGTTAAATCACTGATTGCAGGGTCCGTATAACACATCCATCACTCACATGCGCGCGCGCACAGAGAAGAAAGTGAAGCAATGTCTCCGGATGCCCGTACCACCCGCCCTCAACCTCAGCAAAGATGCACAAGAATCACAGACACACAGACCAACCAGGTGCGTCAAACATACTTGCATGTGTGTCCTCCCTCGTTCTGTCCATCCCTTTCTCCCTCCGTCCCTGCCTCCCTCCCTGTGTAGTGCCTGCCTGCCCCTGATCATTCACGTAAGTTCGTCCAGGAGTATCCGTCCTGCAGAAGAAGTAAGAGGACTCAGTGGCGCATCCCGGCCCTGCCCGTACACAGCAATGGGTGGTGGTTTGGCGGCCATGACTGGCCGCTCCTGATACGAGATGTCCTCTTCCGGTTGGTCATACACAGGCGGCAGGCGAGGCCCAAACACAGGGTACTCGAAGGTCAGCTCATGCTTGGAGCCTCCACCATACGGGTCGAATGACTGGTGTTGGTGGTGCTGTTTGGGGGCAGGTGCATAGTACTGTTGGACGAGTCTCCCGTAGGCCTCCTGCTGCTGCCGCCGAAAACGAGCCTCCTTGGCACGCAACACAGCCTGATGATCGATACACATCACATGACGTGACATGAGACGCGACATACACACGAGTTAGTGTCTCGCTCGTTCGTTGCCCTCTCCACCAATCATCTGACTGACTGACTGACTGACTGACCTGTTGTTTCTGCCTGCGATCAGCCTCGATGACCCGCTGTGCGACGCGAGAGCGGTCGGGGGCGATGGGCGGCAGCCGATGGCCGTCACCGACACCAAAGGGTGCCTTGTGGTGCTGCTCCTTGCTTGAGGTGTGTTTGCGGTTGTCGTATGCCTTGGCGTGCTCATCTAGGTGCAGCTCGGCGATGGGCAGCCGCCTACGGTGGCCTGCTTCATGAGACGGGGCGGCCTCGGGGGGCTCCTTGGTGGCGGGGGGTCGGTGCCGCACTGACGCCTTGTCGTGCTCAACCTCTGGTGGATGGACGGGGCAGG